CTTCCCAAAAAGCTAAAATATAAAAAATAAAAAAAAAACCTAAAAAAATAAAATTTAGGCCATTTATAAATACCCATATATACTTTAAACCTTGGTTCCATGAGCCTTGTTGAATAGTTCTCGGACCTTCAGATCGGACACTTGACTTTGAGAGCTCTATGCATTAAGATGTGGTATGTGTCCAGGCAATGATGGGCTGGACCCAAGGGTCTGAAGTTGCGGAGACTTCTGAACCATCCTTAATAGAGAACAACAAATTTGAAAGACCAAAAAAAAAAAAAATAAACACACCCTACACTGTTCTTCCTCCCATGACTGGCAATCTCACCGAACGCAGAAGCCACCGCGGCGGCACGAAACCAAGTTGATGCGTTCTCTTCCTCCTCCTTCTCTTCTTCTTCTTCTTCTTCCATGTGTTTTGATATTGACGATGGGCCTGGGGAGATGAATTCCATCTTCGCCTTCTCGTCCTGTACCCTTCCTCAGGTTTGAACAACCTCCTTCATCCGTAACCAATTTCTCCTGATCATCGAAGCCCTAAACCAAACTCCTTAAATATTTCATCCCTGATCCTTTTCATGTCTTTTGTTTTTTGTTTTTTCTCCAATGCATTAGAAGCCCTGCAAAAACAAATCGGGTAAGTTTTGATGCTTTCACCTCTCTGTATCTCTGTATCTCTCCATCTCTTTTATTTTATTTTATTTTTTCTTGATGAGGCTCTTCTAACATTTAAATGGCAGATGCGTATGGGTGCATCCCGTAAATACTGAAAGATGCATACTTTACACACTGAAATGTGTGCATCCTTCAGTATGGGTGCATTAGAAGCCCTGCAATAAGGAACCGTATGGGTTCCTTGTTATGATGCATCCCGTAAATAACGTGGCTGGAACCTCTCTGTAACTAACATTTAAACATAACCAATATAGTGCATCTTTCAGTATTAAAATCGTGTTCGTTCCTTGTTATGGGCTTGTGTTTTTGAAGGGCTGTCTTCTCCACCATCAAAATATTGGTTTTGGGGAAGCTGATTCATTGCTTCAACACTATATTGGTTATGCGGCCAACCGATCAATGAGGTGCTATATCAGTAATCGAGCAGTCCAGCAGATTAATAAAATGTTCTATGTTCTATGTTCTAATAACCCAGCAAACTTTCAACGTCGAAAAACTTGTACCGAGAAGCGACACATGCACTCTGGTTCTACTTCCAAATCCTATTTAATATTTGAACAGACTAGATGCTAGATTTGGAAAGCAGTTCATCGATTGCTGAGAGATGCAATTTGAACTGGCCAGCAGCAAACAAGTACATTTCAAGGATGAGATCTAAGACCCATCGACAAGAAATCATATAGGACCTTGGTGAGATGGTGTGGGAACTCCAGGAAGATTTCTGCAAAAAAGTTGATGAAAGGTGATTTGGCCTAACCTAGTAACAGGGGGACACGTGGACACGACTTAACTAGTAAGATGATAGCTTAGCCCGATATGTTAAGTCCGCAATAAATCGAGCTTGGATAATCAAACCATCTTGGGACGAGTTCACCTCGGTGTAAGGTCGTATCAAGACCACTTCGGTCCCAAGGCACTTCGGCATTCGCCCCAGGTTGGATCTAAAGAGCAGTAGTCGGGTAATATTGACAGACCACTACGTGGCAACCCCGAAGATCTTGCCACCAGATTCCGAGCCTCGCGGGATTATACCGCATAACAGCTAGCGTTATCTCCCCCGACCGATTCGGGCGGACTCGATAAGCCCCATCAGTTATCCCCATTATCGCGGAAGCGGGTCTCATCGTGACAAGGATCCCGTAACCACTCTACGAAACCCACGAGGACTCCATTATATAAAGGCTCCACCCCCCAGGGGTGCAAGGTATGCGTGATTTCCTGCTCTCAAGCTCTCTACTTTCAAGCAGCTTTAGCTCGCTACTAGCCTACTGACTTAAGCATCGAAGCGACCTCGCCGGGTTAGCTGACAAAAGACCTTGGCACCTCATAAGTCCCAGTCGCCTCTCCGGCATGGGCGAACTAGTCCCAGTCGCCTCCTCGGCATGGGCGTATAAGTCCTAGTCGCCTCTTCAGCATAGGCAAAGTACCTCTAATGCCTAAGGCATAGACAGCTCGGGTATGAGCCCTACGATGTCTAGCTCACTTCGACATATAACAACAGGTTCAGCCCGTTAGGGACAACCGACATTTAAATGAGTAGCCCGTGCGCAGACAGGTCAGGTATATACCCTGCAATGTCACTCACCTCGGCGTACATTACGTGAAGTTGCCCCTACTAATAGTCCTAGTAGACAGTTCGGGGTGACAACCACTTAGAAAAATTTTACTTTGGTTATCCTTACTTGTTGTCCAGCTCGGTAGCTCGACAATTCAAGGTAACCTATACACCTACTCCTACCTCTATCTAGTTCAAATCGCCAGATCGGGAGTCATTTACACAGAGAATATTTTTGCACAATGATTACTCAAGAAAGTTCGTATTTCATTGATGGAAAGATTTTAAGTACAAAGATCTCATTATAACCCAAGCTTGGTGGCCTCAAGGTGTACATCCAAACAGTAAAAAGAAGAAAAAGTCGGGATCATGCATGCGGACTGCCAAGCAGGTCGGTCTCCATATGCTCCTCTGTGTCCTCTTGACCCGATGGGCCCACCTCTAGGACTTCGTCATCACTTTCTTCTTCAGACGAGTCGGGCTCTTCGTTCGTCGCCTCCACCACCTCGGGAGTAAGGTCAGACATAGAGACGACTTTGAGATCAAGATCGGGGAATTTCTGCCACATTAGGTACTTGCACAGCTTGAAGCCCGAACGATAGAAGCTCGATCCATATTCGACCTGGAGATCGTGGAACTCCGAGGATTTCTTGAAGCGGTCAATGGCGTGGCTTCTTTCTTCAGCTCGCGCCTCTTTGATGGCGGTCTCGAAGATCTCAATTCGCTCTTGGATCATGGCTTCGTGATTCTCGACTTCTCGTTGAAGCTCCGCCTTCTCCTCGGTCATTGTTGAGATCAGCTCCTGTTGCTTCGCCTTCTCCTCGGTCATGGCCATGATCAGCTCCTACTGGCTCTGAACTCCCTTCTTGGCCCGAAGAACCTCAGCCCGAGCTATGTCCAGCTCGCGATAAAGTTTTCGCGTCGTCTCCTCAACTTCACGAGCTCTCTTCAGGCAAACCTTGGACTGATAGACCAACGAATGAATGGTGGAGTTCACCTAGTAAAGAAAACCGAGGTAAGTACGTTTGAAAGTTTAACAAGGAGATAAAATGCAAAGTAAGATACTTACCACCATGCAGTAGCTGGCAGCCCAGCCTCCGAGTTGGCTTGTAGGCATGTCAGCCCATTCCGCGACCTCGGAACACAAAGAAAGAGCAAGCTGAAAGACTTTGACGTGACCTCGGGAGAGCTCAATCGCAGAATTTTTGATGAAGAAGAAGGGCCCCTCGGCCCCCTATTTATAGTCCACCGCGAGGCAATTAACTGTTGATATCTACTTAATCCAACGACTCTCATGAAAACCGATTGCACGACGCCCGAAGACGAAATCAGTTGAGCACGTTTTTGACGTTCGCATAGTCTATAAACAGCATGACATCCACGCGTACACTCAATGCGACCTGGGCTACGACTGGTTAAACCGGAGGCTCGAACAGGTCCGCCCGGCTGATCCGCTCCACAGACTGCCTAAACCTCGTGCCAAATCCACCTGGACCCGTCATGAAATCCTCGCACCGGGTCGAGACCCCCGACTCAGGGAGTGGGGGGCAATTGATGAAGGGCGATTTGGCCCGACCTAGTAATAGGGGGACACGTGGAAATGACCTAACTAGTAAGATGACAGCTCAGCCCGACATGCCAAGTCCGCAACAAATCGAGCTTGGATAATCAAACCACCTCGGGATGAGTTCACCTCGGTGTAAGGTCGTATTAAGACCACTTTGGTCCCAAGGCACTTCGACATTCGCCCCAGGTCGGATCTAAAGAGCAATAGCTCGGTTAATATTGACAGACCACTACATGGCATCCCCGAAGATCTTGCCACCAGATTCCGTGCCTCGCGGGATCACACCACGTAACAGCTAACGTTATCTCCCCCGACCAATTCGGGCGGATTCGATAAGCACCATCAGTTATCCCCATTATCACGGAAATGGGTCTCATCGTGATGAGGATCCCGGAACCACTCCGCGAAACCCGCGAGGACTCGATTATTTAAAGGCTCCATCCCCTAGGGGTGCAAGGTATGCGTGATTTCCTGCTCTCAAGCTCTCTACTTTCAAGCAGCTTTAGCTCGCTACTAGCCTACTGACTTAAACATCGGAGCGACCTCGCCGAGTTAGCATCCTGGGGTTCTCTGATATCCTTCCAAGTTCAGTCCGTCGTCCATCTGGAAGCCAGATCACCAGCCAGATCGCGCTAAATCAAAAGTGCTTAAGGAAGAGTTGTAGGCCATTAGAGCTGCCTGCTCATGCCATCGCCGGTGGCTTTCTGCGTTCAATGAGATCTCCTGTCGCAGGTGGATGTTTCTTAGCTAGGGGTTGGCGAAGGAAAATATGGGAAGAAGAATAGTGTAAAATGTGTTTTTAAGTTTTTTGTCTTTTTCTGTCCAGTTCAACCGAATTCTTTAACAGCCAAGACGTCCGTTAAAGGTAGTGAATTTTAAACACGCCGACGTGGGCGTTTATGATTGGCGGGTTCATGCGTCCAGGTGAACGCGGACTCAATAATGCTCACCTCTACTTAAAACCCAATTAAGGCTCACCTGAGTCACCTGACTATAAACCGATAGATTCAAGTCAAACGTGCGTTTACTACCTTCTACAGTTCTACTTTACCTGAACAGCTGACATTCCGACTGCCACCTGTCACTTCCAGTTTGAATCCTCTGGAAAAGTGGAAACTGTAGAAAACAAACTGGGGCATCATGATAGCATTTCGAGTAGAACCGTAGAGTATTTGAACTCAAATTCTCGCTCCTAGTCATACATGATATAAAAACGTAAACATATTTCAATCAGTGTAGATCTTTGCACATCTCTACTTGATGGTTGCCACTAACGAACCACAAATTAAGTAAAGCAAAATGAGAAAATGCAGAAAAACACAATAACTGACTAAGAACAGCTTTATGGGGGTATAGCATACCGACCACTTTGATCCTTAATTATCAATTGATCTGTGATATCAACTAGCATCTTGAATCACTAAATGGATAATACTCCATGTCTAATGCCAATATGGGATCAATGAAAGCTAAATCCAGTGAAACAACCAAGCCCTTCCATAGAGTTAAAATCTGGAAAACCTATGGCATGTATCGCCGTGCCACATAGCTGATTCAAGTCTCTCGCCTGTGAGGGAGGACTCAAGAAATAACCCACATATAAGAAACAACACTGTTGTAACCGACAGCTCAAGCCAACGAATATGACACATCTTAGAAATTGCTCATCCTGATTATGGAGATTGGAGAAGGATTTCACCCCTGTAGAGTGGGATTATTCAAGCTCCAGTAGTAACAATCTCTGTTACCTTCTCTTTCAAGTTGCCCATTTTAAAGTGAGGCTCAGAGGGGAAGACAAAAACCGTAGATGTAGCCTGAGGCAAGGAAAGCTCGGCTGAATATCTCACTGCAGTTACAGTGATACGGGGAAGCTGTTGTGAACCAGAAGCAAGCGGCACAAGCTTGTAACCAAGGATGTGCTCAGATTTCGGCAGCACAGAAACCATGTCATTGTGGGATCCAGATAACAAGAAACTTTGAGAATCTGCAATCAAGTACTTGACCTCCTGGAGAAACTCTGTCTGATTCTGGATTTTCACATAACATGTGAAAGGAATACCAAGAATGGTGTGAGGAGGACACTCCAAACTCACGACCAAGGGCGCCATCTCCACGTTCACATCAGGGAGTTTGTGTCTGGTTATGATTCCAGCTTCTGTTATGTTGGAATCAGATTGCTTGTCAAGCCCAGAATCCCTCTTCCACGTAAAACAAACTGTTCCCATGGCAAGATTTGGAGAATGTATCTTTGGAATGACAGAGAAAACCTTTCTGAACTCTTCACCTGGCACAAGAAGAGCATGGTCCTTTTGGCTCTCATCTCTTTGTCGCACAGTACACGACTTTCCAATGTCATTTTCATCCATTTCAATGGACATGGATACCAATCGCAGTGGAACCTCAGTGCAGTTTTTTGCACTAACAATGAGGATACTCGTTTCATTCAATGCCAGCGTTGTTGACTGATTAGAATTAGGGGCTACCTTGATCTTTGAGAGCAATAACGGGTTCCTTCTGAATGGCAGCATAAAGCGATGGCCAATCATAATGGCAGTTTTCCCTTCAATCTGCAAACTTTTATGGGCATGAACTTTCTGGATGGTAGACCCATTGCTGGTTGGCAAGTAGCCCAGTGACACATACAGCATGACTGGTTTGGGTCTATGCCATTTGATTTCTAGTTTGCAAGACCAGGACCCTCCAAGGTTCACAAAGGGAACAGACAGCAACCCAAAAGAATGCTGAATTTTCCAGATATTGTCCTGACCAGTTTGTGGTTCATCATCTCCATCTGGTCGAGAGACACCAAGAAGCTCAACATGGAGACTGTCTGTAGATATTGGTTCCATTTCCCTTGGACTTCCCAATGCAGCACCTCTTCTTGCATCCACCAGATTAATTTTCAATTCACCAGAATGGATTTCATGGCCCTTGGATACAATTGTAACTGGAAGCATGAACCTCTCTCCAACTAATGCCGGGCCGGAAGCACCTAAAACAAGATCAACCTGTGGGTCTGGCTCATCAACCTGGATAAACTTCTGACCAGAGAAAGCGAGAGCAGGGTCTCTGGTTGGAAATGTCTCCACATGGTCCTCAAACTTCCAAAGTGGTAAATCATTCATTGAGGCAGGGCTTTCAGCTTGGCAACAGATTGTGAACAAGGGTCCCAATCTCGCAATCACTGATTTGCATTCAAGCTTTCCACTTAGTTCTGCATTAGTATACAGTAGTCTTATATTAAAAGCAGTGGCAATAGAAAGTGAAAGTTCTATAAAACAATGGTTCAGATTAAGTGATATAAAATTCATGTCTGGGTCACCAAAATTGACTGATCTCATTCACCAGTTGAACAGTTAATCCAATTTATAGTGTGTGTATGTGTGTATAACCACCGACTGATATGAAGAAAAGTATGAAGCATATTACCAGATGTAACATCATAAGTCAACCGTAGCCACTTGTTTGTGACTACAGTCAGAACTGGAGCTGTCACTACCCGGGCACCTGTCTTTCCAATGGAAGTTGCAGATATGGGTGCTTTCTGAGCACTGGCTATGGTGAAATTGCATTCAGATTGATTGAACTTGACTTCTAATTGATCAATTTCAACAGGTTGGGGTAGTTGTGAAATGAGGGACAGAGTGAAAAATATGGATGCACCAGGTTTAGCCACCTGGTCATGAAAGGCAACTGAAGCAAGAAATGCCACTCGAAGGGGGCTGACCAAATCAATCTCAAGACGAATGGGCCTCTCAGGGGTTACATTAAGGGTAACATTTCCTTCGTTTGATGTCAAACCAGATTCTCCTTTCATGATACCAAAAACTTCGCTGTATATTCTCTCTCTCTGTGGAAGACTAGCACAACCAGCTGGCCCATATTCTCCTTTATGAATTGGAGATTGAACCTCATCACCAGATGATATAGGCAATGCAGCCATTTCGAGAGAGTACTCAATAAAATCTTTCACTGAACCGAGTCTCTTGGAGCATTCTCGTAGGTAACCTAAGACATCCCACAACAATGTGGTCCAACCCTCTTTCCTGTAAAGACTTGCAACACCATCAAAAAGCTCTTTTGCATTATCAAACTTGCCAACAGAAAAGTATTCTCTGGCCATCTGACAACTGCAATAAGAGGCCATCCTCTGGGCTTTAAGGTTACTGTACGACTCAAAAGACTTTTTGAGCAGAGCAATAATTTCAAAGGAATCCTGAAACCGCTTCCCTTCTGCGAGGGCATAGAGAACGTACTCTGCATCAGTAAGACTGCAATAACGAAACAAGAAATACCAGTATTAGGAGAGAGGAGCAACATGAAAACCATCATCATTATAAAATTTCAAGACATACTTTTGCATTACAAGTGCATCCCCTTGCTCAAGTAATCGTGCAAATTGACCAACATACACAGATGGTATCACAGAATCAGCGCTGCTTTCAATTTCAGCTACAGCTTCTGATGCAGACAAAGCAAGTTCCAGACAACATTTCTTCTCCCTCAAGTAATGTGCTGCCAACTGTGTCCAAATGAAATAGCGAGACTTGAGAGTTCAATAAAAAAGATAAGAAAATAATGTCACTTCTAGGCAAAAATGGTTCCAACTAATTCTTTCAATGCCATTTTTATATGCAATCCTTTTCATGTATCTTGCACTGGTAACTGAATGCATGCTTCCGAAATGACAATTGAATTTATTTCTCTAATCAGTAATACTATGGGTCAATGGTTTTAAAACCAGAGCAGATGAACAGTTGAGGCTGGCATTCACGATTCAGCAGTAAAAACTTTATCAAGACAAGCCACATAAAAGCTTCCTTTCTATGTTTTAAGTCTCTCATGTTCGTGGTGTCATTCTCTCTCAACAACACCACAATTCCACTAGTTCAATGGATCAACATTGAAACATAAATTTAACAGGGTTAGCTCAATAGCACCAATAGGAGAGAACACCACAATTCCACTAGTTCAATGGATCATACATAAGAACCCCATCCACTCTCTCAAAAAAAAAAGGTACAAGACCCAAATAGGATACAAATACTGGACCCCTAAATCAAGGTTCAAAATATCGATACAGGACAATACACCGGTTGGGGTGTATCGGCTTGTATCAAGCTTCATTTTTATTTACTAGTTTTTTTTTCAAACTGGTTAAGAGGGTCGGTTTAAGGCCCATCTACCCCATGAACCAGGTCAAACCCCGAAACACCCACTATAGGGGCATATCGAGAAGTCACTGATACGATATGTGTCGTCCAATACGGCCCAATACATATCGATATTTTTGAACCTTGCCCTAAATAAAAACACATCCTATGACCTAAACTGGAAAACACTACACAAACAGCAATTATCTCTAATAAATCATCTGACTCAACCCAAATACTAAGATCTGTTAATTTGACCAGATCCAAACATTATTCTAAGACCCATTGCTCTCCAACATTCTCCCTTAATGAAAAATTCAGGTGGAAAATCATGCATTCTAACAGTTATCTCTACATTCTCCCTCAAACTCGAGATAGTGAAATCACCAACTTGATTTTGCAAAACATAGTGCTTGAGTGGATAACTAACACTGCCTAGTGGAAAGTGGAGCTTGAACAACTATCACAAATGGTCTTCAGTTTGCATTGAATTAACCAAACGAATCGACAAAGAGAAAAGCCAAAGCAATAGCCAAGCACCACATCAAAACTGACAGCAACAACACCGAATAGATCCAAATCAACATGTTGGGGACGACTAGTAGAAAAGCCAGATTTAGGTCCAAAGATCAGCACTGATAATCATAACAAACACCCAGATCTTGGACTGATCATGGCAATCCTAAAACTGACTAGAACATTCTGAAAAAAATAAACTGGAATCTTAGGACATTTATTTAGATATTTCATTGAACAGTATTAACTCACAAGTTGATCATCCGCCACCAAGGATCAAAATATTGATATGATATCGTACCCGTATTGGTGGACCTGGAGACAAATAGATATATGGGGGGTTAAAACTTTGGGTTGATAGAAGGCATCCCTCTAATGCTTATAAAATAGATAATAAAAATAATAATAACATAGAGTACCGGACTTTTCAATATGCACCAATACCCAATTTTTGATATCCAAAGTATCGATATTTTGATCCTTGTCCACCACAAAAATCAGAGTTGACCTTAATCAATCTTATGGTTGAAATTTCTTATATAACCAATTGAACTGAAGTACAGAGCAAATGCCAGCTTGCAGAGTCTTCACATACAATTCAAATGAGCATCATATTGATTACTTGTCATTTACAGAGAATATCTCTACTTCATCTGAATCTGTATAACTAAGGTGGCATTTGATAACGCTTTTAAGAGGTCTGAATCTGAAAACATTACTTTTCAGACCCATAAAGCATTTGATTATACATCTTAAAATTGACCTGAAATTGAATTTCAGATCTGAAATATTTAGATCATGGGCCATCACTGAACGCGCTCAGACACGTTTCAGATGTGTTTGAAAGTCTTAAATGCCCCTCATAACATTGAAATGAACATCCCTTTTTAAACCCAATTTTTTTTCATTCGACACCTAACCACTAGTGATGCAGAAAAGACTCGAAGGGCGTTCTCTCTTCCTCCCTCCCTCTTTCTCGCTTTCTCTCTCCCCTGTCTTCCCGCCGACCACCATTGTCGCTGTTCTCAGTTGGCCGACGGCAGTCTTGTTCGATTTCTTAGCAGCGGTGTTCTCAGTCGGCGGTCTTGTTCGATTTTCCTCTCCCTCCCTCCCTCTTTCTTGCGTTCTCTCTCCCCTATCTTCCCGTCGGCCGCCACTGTCATTGTTCTTAGTCGGTCGGCGGCGGTCCTGTTCAATTTCTCAGTAGCGGCGTTTTCAATCGGCGGTCCTGTTCGATTTCCCTCTCTCTCCCCCGTCTTCCTGCTGGCCGCCACTGTCGTTGTTCTCAGTCGACAATGTTTGAAGGAAACCTTCGATCTAGGCAGTAACAAGATTTGAAACCCGACTCCAACAGCAATTCTCAGTCGACAACGTCTGTTTGAAGGAAACCCTCAATCCATGCAGTAATGAAGATTTGAAACCCAGCTCCAACAACGACAACTCCTATGCTCTTTTCTGACGGAGAGTCAAATAACACCAGGGAGTTGACGAAGATTTGAACGGCTCGGGTTTTGAGTCTATTTGTGGAGTTCATGAGATGGAGAAGGAAGCAACAGGGAAAGTTTCGAGAGAAGCTGAATTATAACTTATAAATTTATTTATAATAATTATCAAATTATAAATTTATTAAATATTAATGTTTTTATTTTTTATAATGTCTATTTGTATTAATTAATAATTATTTTAATTTTTTATAAATATTTAAAAAAATTAATAGTTTTAATTTAATAATTTGATAATTATTAAATATTTTTCTCATTGCTTCGTGGACTTTATTACTATTTTCATTATTATTTTAACTCTTAATAATTTATTTTTAATATAAATTTATATGTATTTTTCAATTTTATTCTTATTTTAATAAATTATTGTTTATTTTTTATAATTTACTCATATTTTTTATTATTATTTTGAATTTAATAAATTATTTATATGAAATAATGAAAATTGAACTCAAAATTACCAGTCTTTTTAAGGGGTAAAATAGTAATTTAGGGAATTTCAGATGTTGAAAGGTTGATCCAACACAAACAACTTTATCTATGCCTCTAAAAAGTAAAAAAGCATTTATACCTCTTTTCAGATTTCAGACACTTTTAATATCTTTTTAACTTTTCAGATCTGAAATTTCAAATCTATCAAACGCCACCTAAAAATAGGGTAAATTACAAAGACCCCCTGTACTATGGGGTCAGTGACAACTACCCCCCTGAACTTTCATTTGCAACAAAGACCCCCCTGAGCTTTCACTTTGTGACAAATACCCCCTGGTTGTAAAGTCAGATGACGAAATGCATTAAATTACCAAAATACCTACCTGACCTTTTCTTATTTTCTTTTCCTCACCCTTTTCTCTAAAACTCTAATTGATTGACCCAAAAATACTCCATTTATCCAAACAAAACCAGCTAAAATAACAAGAATCTCACTGACATAAAAAAACAAGTTTCTTTAAATTCTTGTTTCATTTTACTGACATGAATGTCTCTCTTCATCTTAAAATATAAAAATTATCCACTCCTTTCTCCAATAAATCAAGAAAAACCAAACGAAACTTTAAATTTATATCTATCAGAAAGAAACCTCTACCATTTCATCTGAATATTGAATCTAGCCAGAAATCTGCAAGAATCTATGGAGCAACCGAGAGGACTTCAATATTATATTTAGAAAACTAATCGAATCATAAATCGTTCAAAAAAATAATAAAAGGTCTAATTTTTTTGCACCGGATCCCATCAGAACTCCGAAGTTAAGCGTGCTTGGGCGAGAGTAGTACTAGGATGGGTGACCTCCTGGGAAGTCCTCGTGTTGCACCCCAATTTTATTAATATTTATTCATCAAAAAAAATAAAAGGTGTAATTTGGGGATTAAAAAATTTAAATAGCTGAATGAGAATCTTTTTCAAATCTTCTAGAGTGTGGGAGCATTTTTTAAAGCCTGCTGGAGTTTGTTGGGTCATGCCGAGATCAGTCAAAGACCGCCTATTTAGCTGGAATCTGGCAGGGTTGAGGAAAAAAAGGAATACTAGTCTGGAAAACAATTCCTGTAGAAATACTGTGGTCCTTGTGGTCAGAAAGAAACAATAGAGTATTCTCTAACAAGTCAAAAAGCCCAGATGAGCTAGTTCAGCAGTCAGTCAGCAAGCTGATCTCCTGGGTGTTGGTTACTGCTGATTTTAAGCACCTGAATGTAGCTGAGTTGTTTAGTTCTCAGTCCATTTGGAGTCTGTAATTGTATTTGGTTCTGGGCTTCTTCTGTCCAGGATTGTACTTTTTTGTTTTCTTTGAAATAAAATCTTGCCTTACCTTTTCAAAAAAAATAAAACTTACAGAACTCAACGGAGGGGATATTTGTCACAAAGTGAAAGTTTAGGGGGTCTTTGTAGAATAATTTCTCCAGACAAATAAAGAGAATAACATGAGCCATACATGCTTGACAGAGTTCTGAGTTCCAATTTTTCTGGGATGTAAACATTACAAAATGGGAAATAGTCTAAAAGACCTGACCAAAGATCTTTTTTCTTTTTTTGAAAAAGGGTAAGGTATGATTGTATTAATATAAGGCCCCGTGTACAATGAGAAGCTGTACAAAATGAAGGACCTCAAAAAAAAGTCATCCTCAAAAAAGTATAATCAGAAATACCATCTCTTATAACAGTATGTATAGACATCCAACTTCTCAAAACCTCTATTGCCAAGTTAATGACCTCGGCCTTCAGTAGTAGATTTTTTCTCAAAAATCCTATTATTCCTTTCTGACCACAAGCCCACAGAACTGCCGGAGGGATGGAAGTCCAGCATAACTTTCCTTTCTTAGACAGCCCCTGGATATGCCACTCCTCTAGCAGAG